CAAGACCTTCAAAGCTTTCCTGAAGACCTGCAAAGAGGAGGCCTAGCAAAATACAGATGGAAGGTGATCCCAGGGGGGTATGAGCCACCACTAAAAAGGCCCTCTCCCTTGTGCTCGCCAGCCAAGCCCTTTGCAGGGGTCGAGCGAGGTGGCTGAGCTGGGAGTGCAGGCAACTTGGGCCCAAAGCTTTTAAGGCCTGATCAGCTAAAACCAGCACTTTAAACTGGGCTCAGCATGCACTGGAAGCCAAAGCCGCTCCTCTTGTTATGGATGCAATCAGCTTATGCCCACCCACCGATATTCAGGCAGCTGCATTCTTTACCACTAAAATTTCCAAATGGTCTTCAAAGGCATACTCACGCAGAGGACAGGATGGTAATCCCAAATGGATGCCACTGGAGCATGGATGACAGAAGCACGCCAGGGGCATCCTCTGCCCTGAGGGAGACCACGAAGCTGGGAGTCAGAGGCAAGCAGAGGGAACGCACGGGCCTGCTGCCGATACACTGCCCTTCCTAGGAGATGGAAGCATAGGCAGAGCAGTGCCCCCAGCCCTGTTGAAAGGGGCCTGAGGTTTTTCCTCTTCCTTCCACATCCCTTTTTCCTTGTGTGCTGTGGCTTTTTGTAGCTGAAGGAGGCTCAGTGCCCCCACCAGATAGAATTATTTAAAATCATTGGCCATAGTAGAACCAAGGCACTCAGGAAATCCCATCAGAGTCATTTTCCCATTGCAAATGTCACTTAATCCATTAACTTCCACCTGCATCCAGGGAGGCCAGCCCTCTCCCCACTTTCTCAGCCACTAGATTTTAAATAATAAGGACTAGCAACATAGGAAGCTGCTATCTCCTGAGCCATCCATTGGTCCATCCAGCCCAGCCATGGTGACATGGCCTGGCAGGGCTTCAGGCCAGACCTGAAAAGCAAAGCTGGAACTTTCGGCAAGCAAAAGCAGCACTCAACTGCTGAGTTGCAGCCCATCTCAAACGCACCCCCTATGCACCGAAAGTACCTCTTGAGCAGAGAACCAACAGAAGCAGCCCTGCCTTTGCTTAGGAGCGAATTCCCTGGGAACCAGAGCCCAACTTCCCCGTGTGTTTTCCACCACACAGACACAAATGCAGAAAACTGCATTATTTATAACATGGAGGCTTCCTCGCTATGCTTGATGCTGAAATTAGGTCAGCATTTCGTGTTTAATCTTTTTATTTTTCCAAGCTTGCTCTCAACGGAGAACAAGGCATCTCCCTTCCTTCTCTCCACCCTCGCCTGTCACCAAAACAGAGTAAATTCCCTCTTTGCCTCCGCTCTTCTGTATTTCCTATCAGGTTTGCTAAGCAAGAGAAAAAGCCAGGTCATCCCATCTACTTTTCCTGAGCCAATTATTGAACGGCAGGGTTTGTACATAAAATATGACAAACAGAACCATCATCCTCATCAAAAGTTAAATTTAATCTCTGGGGGATTTTGTTTTCCCAAGTAGCTGGGACTGTGCAAACATGGAGAAGATAAACAACTCTGCTGGTGCATTCATTAAGTGACACCAGTAAGTCTGGAACTCGGAGTGCGGGTTGCTTGGCTTAGCGCAAACGCAGCAGAGAAGGCTGTTGGCTGTCAAGGCGAAAGGCCTCGAACAACCCTCAACAGCCGGCAGGAGCCTGTTGGTTAAATACAAATATTCAAAGTGTCCTTTCCAGCTCAGGCATGACTGCAAGCCACATGGGTCACATAAAATACAAAATGCAGGTGTGCAACAGTTTTGGGGAAGGAGATGATCAGTTGGAAGAGGCCTCTTCCATCAAGAGACTCTGGGCAGGGTCGGGAAACGGGGTCGGCACGGCCAGGCCTCCCCTGCAGGTCCGAAGTCCAACGGGGGCCCCTGGCAAGAGCCCCCACAGCTGCTGCTCCTCTTCCCCGCTGGAACCAGCTTGTTCACCCACTCCTCGCTCTGGCCCAGGTGAAGCTGGTGGAGAAGAGGCGGAGATGCCACGGCCCCCTCGCATCCTGGCTCTCCACCGATCAAGCGCGCAAGTGCGAGGAAGAGGATGGTCAGTTGGAGACAGTGGGGTGGGGAGACCCCCTAGGGATGGGGCCCATGGAGGGCACCTTGCCCAGGGGCCACCAACCCCTGGAGCTGGCACTGAGCGGCCTCCTCCGCTGCTTCTGCATCTTGGCTCGGAGGCCAGGGGGGCCCCGCGGCGAGGGGCAGCCCATCCCGATCCCTGCCTGGCTGGCAAGTGAGAGGCAGCGCAGGCACGTGGGGCCGACACAACGCATTCCCCCCCCCCCCCGCCCAGCGCCTCTCTTCGCCCTAATGCGCAGAGCTTTTGAGTGACATGGCTCCACATCCCCGAGGAGACGCAGCACTTCAAAACTCGAAGGGGACTATCCAGGGATCATATTATCTGGCAGAGAAACGCAGCTGCCTTCCCTGAGCAAAGGGGCAGGCGCCTGACAGGAAAAACAAGATTACGTAAGTATTGGGGGCAAGCAACGAGGAGCTCAGGCATTTGAGGAAAGGTTTGGAGACAAGAGAGATAATGAAACGAGTGCAGGGCCTGACGGGAAAGGCGCCGAAGCCGGCAAGCAGGACAGCGAGAGCTTGCAGCTGGAGAGGGCTTGTGCCGCGGCCGTCAAAGGAACGGGTGATGGCGGCATTTGTGTGCACGAGAAAGGGACAAGCGCCAGTGCCACTATTCACCTGGCATTGGGATACCTGCCGGAGCTGGCCAAGGTTGGCACGAGCTTTCAGGGATTGGAAAAGAACCTACCTGGGCAGGTGCAGCCAGCTTTTCTAGTCGAAACCGTCTTTTCAGGTCCATAAAACCTTGCCTGGGGTTTTTAAAGCCTCTCGGTGCACTTCTGCTGCAGCGGGCGAACACGGCCACCCCTTCACACCTGAAGGCTGGCTGACATGTCCCTGCTCACTCCTTAATGACAGCAGCTTCGGCTAAGCAACTTGCACATATGAAAGTCTTCATGGCAGACGAAATGTTGGGACCCGAAAGGAACTGAACTCTCGAGTGAGCGGATGCGGCCCAAGGGGCACGATCCACACTTGGACACTTTGCAGAAGTACGAATACTTTGGGGAGGGGGAACCAAGTAGAGGGATCAGCTCAACAAGAGCAGATCGTGCTCAGCACAGAATGCTGATCGACAGAGGGGCAGGATAGAAAATGGGGAGGTGTAATGGAGTCTCCTGGAGAAGGGCTTGGCCGGCTGCTACCCAAAACCACAAGCACTCCATTATGTTGCAGGCTACACTGGTTTCCCTAAGCAGGGCTTTCCAACTGCTGCCATCCACACATTCAGCTGGGAGCCGGGGGAGGGGGGATAGTTCACACACCTAAAGAGCAGTAACGTCTTGCGTGTGCAAATGAATCCCCGCAGATTTTTCAGTACAGGCAGAACTTTTCTCTCTTCTGAAGGTTGTGACTTCTGTGCCCCACGGATTGCAGGTGGGCCTAAAACAGAAGCAACAGTTGCATTAACACTATTTTCACGTGGCGGGGGGGGGGGTTGTTTTGAAAAGGTCTTCCTGCTTTATTGGTTAGGTAGAAGAGATCCAGAGTCGTGCAGTGGTTGTGTTCCAGAACAGGGCTGAAAGGATCCAGGTTCTGGTTTCTCACTCAGCCATAAAGTTCGCTGAGTAACTTTGGTCCACTCACTGATGCTCAACCTCACAGGGTTGTTGTGAGGATAAAACGGGACAGGGAAAGTCAGTGTGGTCGAGTGGTTAGAGCAATGGACTGGACTCAGGAGATCTGGGTTTTACTCCTTCTCTCAGCCATGAAGCTCAGTGGGTGACTTTGGGCCAGTCTCAGCCCAACCTCCCTCCTGGGATCATTGCAAGGGGAAAAATGGGAGAGGGGATCCTATCCAGGGCCGTGGGCAACTTGGAAGGAGAATGCGATGCATTTCTAGAAACAAATAGGAATTGTACCAGGCACATAAATAATCCATTTGCTCAGCTCAGTCTCAATGCATCTACCCAAACTTGCTGTTTATGCAACTACTACAAAGAGGAAAGGCTGCATCCCTGAGAAAGAAAATCAAAAATCAAAAGCCAATCTCATGTTGCAGGTTGGAGTTACTGGTGGGGTCTGGGAGAGCAAAAAGATGAAGGAAGGCCGCGGACTCCAATGCAGTACTTTTCAAGGAAGGCAGGTCACTGCAGCCAAGGGAAAAGCCGTCAGAAATCCTGGGTCAGAGCCAGCGTTTCTGTGGCATGAGATCAATGCAGCAAAAGGCTTCTTCCCCAAAGAGGGGGAGCAGAATTTCACCCTTGGAGACCCGCAGCGCTGGATTTCTGTCTCCATCTTACTTTCTATGAGGGAACAGGGAAGGGACAGAGAGGGGGAAGCCCATTCCGGTTGTGGCTTTTCATGAACTGACTTCTGGCCAAGCCACAGCCTGAAAGACCTCTGCAAAACTCTGATCTCAGATAAATGCAGATGAGCAGCTTGGAGCAGCCTCCTCCAATGCAAGATCAATTCCAGGCAACCTGGCAAGCCCCCCCCCCCCACCCAATCACACCTGGAATGCCTTGTGCGCTTTAGGAGAGACCAAGCAGTAAGCCTGGCGACCGGGAAGCGGCTGGCCGGCGCACGGGCAGCAGGGCGGCATTGATCTGCAGTGATGCTTGTTCACGCGCATCCGCTTTGGTGCTCCGGGACGGATCGTGCTGCTTGACGATTCGGGCCACCTCACCATGTTGTGCAACAGCTGACTAATTAAAATGTGTGCATGTTTTTGGAACAAATGAAGAGACAAGAGAAAGAACCACCTGCAAGCGCTCCCTCTCGAATGCTTGGAATTTTTATTTAAACTAAAACGAGAAACAATCAGTTCTGCAGAGCATTTAACAATACGCTGAAATAGAAGAAAGGGCTAGCAAGACCCTGCAGAGGGGAGCCATCAGCACCCCAAAAAGGGTGTGAGGGGAGCTTCTGATACCTGAATTTCAGACAGACTTAAAAAACGAGGTGTGGACACAGATCCATTCATTCCTTTATTTAAAAAAAATTAACAAGAGAACACAAGCATTAAAACAAGTCAAGGTGGGGGCTCATTGCACACAATCCTGGCTGGAACACCTGGGACAAGGGCAGGCAGTGGGTTCAAGGCCAGGTCCTGGGCCTCCAACACGCCTGAGGAGGGGCCTTCCATCCCGAGATCTTGCCCTGTAAGCCAGACCAGGCCAGGGGCCACTTCACACCTGAAGCGCCAAACAGGCCCACGGGTCTTTTCCACATGGCAGCCCCACTGCACCCCGGCTGCCCATCTACAGCCCAGGAGGTGCAAGGAGGGAGGGGGAAGGACGTGGCGGGAGGCGCTCCTTCGGAGGAGCCCAGGAGACCCGTGGCAGCCGGCCACGCCGCACACTCGCTCGCTCCCAAGCGCAACGGCCTCAAGCAGTGGTGGGAGCACTGACCGGGGTGGGGGGGGGCAGAGAAAAGAAAAGGGGTTGCCTTTGGTGAAGTGAGTCCCGCTAGCGGTGGGGCAGAAGGAGCGGCCTCCACCCTGCCCTGCCCTGCCCTGCCCCGCCTTGTGAGCAGGGTCTCAGCCCTTTGCCGAGCCCAGGCAAAGGATGGGCCCAGGGCAGTTTCTCAGGGTGCCAACTGTGCCTCCCGTGGGTGCCCAGCCTTAGCCTAACCGGCCGGCCAGCTGAGGGAGTGTGCAGGAATGGCACTGAATCGGTCCCTGCACCAAGGTTTCTGGTGTGCCCGTTCCAAGGAAACGGGCAATCAGGCAGCAATCCCAAGCCAGCCAGGACCAGCCACAGCTCCTTTCCGCAGCTTGTTTTCCGCTTACGGGTACAAACCCTGCCCCGCTTTTTGGAACTTGGGCATGAAATGTGAAGCTCCCCTCACTGGCAAGGGAAACCCTTCCCATGCATGCTCAGAGGCACGTCATTATGGCCAGGCTGCAGGCCACAGGGAGATGGCAAGGCCCGCTCCGTGGGTTAAAGGCAGCATAATGCTCCTTTCCAGGACCGAGATCTTCCCTGCTGGAAACTGTCTTCGAAAGCACAGCACGAAGGATGAGGCTCAGAATTAACTGCTGTCTAGCAGGGCTGTCTGGACTGAATGCCGGCTACCAGGGTCGTCTGGATCCAGTCCAACCACAGCTGAGAATACAAGCGCTGCAAGTTTAATCATCTGCATTGAAGCCTCAGGGGAAGTCGCAACTCCTGCCTGAAGCGCTGCTTATCTTGCCTTAGGAGTGGAGAGACACCCTGGTCAACGGCCAGTCCATGCGCCCATACAAATGTGCAGGATTTGGGCCCGGGTTCACGCAAGACACCGGCGGGAGGGAAAGAATGCCGGCACCCAGAAACTGTCCGACACCTAACCGTGTTGCTGCAGTCTGGCAGAGGGGCAGAGATGTGGCCCCAGCTCCCATCAGCTCCAGCCAGCGTGGCCAGCACTGGCCATCTGCACTGGCGGAGGCACTCCTGGACTCATCCGAGAGGTGGCTCGCTTTTACTAGCGAGAGAGAGGGAGCTCCCAGGCGTAGTTCCCTTGCTCACTCAACAAGGCCAACCGCCTCTCCTTCCAACTATCTAGAAAACTCAGCTGGTGGTTTTTCAAGCTATTTTTGAGCTACTGTGGATACAAGAGGGAAGCCAAGCCAGTGCCTGAATCTGGCAGGAGCCTCAAGCGCACCTTGGACAGCCCCTTCTTTGAACGGGGCTCTGCTCAGCAGATTGCCGGATGCTGACTGGCTCAGGCTGCTGTCACTCAGAGCAGCCGGCTATCCCGGACTCCCGGCCACGCACACACTCGCCACTGCGGCTCCTGCTTGTTCGCTCATGTTGATGACCCCAACATTTGATAAATAGATTATACGATTATAGGGGAGAAACTAGGAGCATCTGCAATGCTGGTGGAAAACCGGAGCTGCTGCAAGTTCTGGCAAGAATGCAGCTTTGAAAACAACAGTAACTCTACCTGGGGGTGGGAAATCAACCTGCAAAGTGCCCCCTTCTTATTATTCCCACTGCTATGACACAAAGAGGCTGAGAAAGGAGGCAACGCAAATGAGAAAATGATAAAGAGGCACGTCTCATGGTGGTGTTGCGATGCATGCGCTTTAAATGGCCAAAGACTGAAATACTAGAAGCTGAGAAGGCAGGGGGGATGGTGAAGGAAGGAAAAGTATGCCTATTTTGATCTCTTGGCAGGCATCCCGTCAGAGTTAAGGCTTGTGTGTTTCTGCACAAGTTTTACATTTTCCAGGCAGTATGAAGCCACTGTATAGTGTTCTTAGTTTTAAAAAGCAAGATTCCAGCCCTTATGGTTGTACTGAAAATATTTAAAAAGACATGCCAGCATTGTCCATTAAAAATTCCAACTTCACAGAGGATGCAAAAGTCAGTGGTGAAGTACATATGTGCATATATAGAGAGTCCGCGTTTTCCACAACTCCTGCGTTGCAGCTCCCTGGGCCTTTGAATCTTCCGTATTTCTACTAGGTCTTCCACTATCTCGGTTTTGTTAAAACCAACACTAACATTCTGGAAAATCCCATTTCCTGGCATTAGAACCATGATGCAAACTGATGGGGGTTTTTTTACGTGGGTATTTTAATATGCTGAGCACCAGCCAAGAGGAGAATCTGACCTTCTGTGCAAGCCACAAAGATCGAAAGCGGAGCGCATTCCAGGTCCAGGTCCAGGTCCAGGTCCAGGTCCAGGTCCAGGTCCAGGTCCAGCCAGCCACTTTTCTCAGACTGGCTCCGTAAGCGGGAGCCGGCGGTCGCTGCAAGCCACCTTCCGGCAACGCGGCGGCTTCGCTCTGGTGGCCACACGGCACGGGCATTTCCTGGGCTGCCCGGGACGGAGGCTGAAACCCACAGAGGAGCAGTTCAGGCAGGAGCTGCCCCGCTTGGGCTGCAGGAGGGAGCTGCATTCACAGTGTCCCTAAATGGGGGCAAGTTGGGAAAGAGCAATGCTGATGTCCCTCACGTGGGAATATAACACAAGTCGCAATCGATACAAAAGCGTTTTTGGAAAAGGAAAAGGAAGGCTGCATAAGAGGGTATCATGGTTCTGCGCCATACAAAGGCTATTAAAAACTACGAAGGACGAAGCTAGAGAAGGTCATGTGGAGCTCTTCCGGCGGCCGACGCCGGGCTGCACCGGACAGAGGGAAGGTGGCGGTGCGGGTGGTGCCCCGCGGCCGGCTATGGCTGAGTCCTCAAGAGGAGGTTCCGCTGGGCGAGGGCTGGCTCAGGGACAGCAGTGCTGGCTCGCTTCCTAGAGCTCCTCGAAGAAGGCCACGCGGGACTTTGTGCTCTGCAAGGTAAGCTGGAGAGGCCGGCGGGGGGGGGGGGGGGGGGACACAAGAACAGACACACATCGTGAGAAACGGGGCCACGTTTCAGTTGCCAGCGCTTCCTGCGAGAAGACAGCCTGTGAAGCAGCAGCCAGGCCGGTGGGCAAAAGGCTGGCACGGGATGGAATGTGGTTTGGGCCGGCTGGTCCAGAACCACGAGGTCCAGCTGGTTCAGGGCCCCCGTCTCCACGGTGGCGGACCCCATGCACCCGGCAAGCCCACGAGCAAAGCGGGAAAGCTGAGGACTCTCCCCTGCCCCCTCAGCAACTATGCTCCGATGCACAGCCTCTTCCCCGCTTTTTATTTTTTTAGACAGAAAAAAGCCATAAATACAAACACAACAATAATAATATAACATAACAAGAACACAATAATTAAAAAAAGAATAAATGAAAGAGTGCACCCACTACCCTGGAGACCAATACTACCATCGTACACATACTATAACAATTAGTAACATACAACGTGCTTCAATTATACCCACATCCCCTGCAGAAATTCATATAATCTTGATTGGGTTTACAGCCTTTGCCTTCTATCAGTACTGCTTTTACAAAATCTTCCCAAATTTCATTATACTCATTTGCTTTCATTAACCCTTTTCAAATTTTTATTTCTGTCGTCAGTTTATCACAGATGCACAGCCTCCTGACAGGGAGGATGCATTGAGCCACCAATGGCTCCTGCCTCCCCCTCCCCATGAATCCACTGCCCCCCACCTCTCTAAAGCCACCTTGGCCAGTGGTGGCTGTGCCCTTGGGACTCATGGCCTGGCGAGGAGGAGGATGCTAGAAAAGCCGTCCTTGGGTGGAACCCAGGATTCCAGCAAGCCCATGAGAGTGATATGGGGTCAAAGGGGCTTCAGAGCAGCCACCTCCAACCTGGTGCCCATCAGAGCTGAGGAAGGCTGCCTCAGAGCGCACAGGGCACGGCCCAGGCATCAGCACAGCAATCTTCACAACACACCTGTGAGAAAAGCCCCCTTGGGTCCCCCCGAATGCCAGACTGGTGAGCGCAAGGCTGAAAGGGAAAGTGGCTTGCCCAAGCCTTGCAGGTGAGGTTCTGGTGGATGTGATCCTTGACCTTCAGGGGCTCAGCCCCTGCACCTCCTCAGCTCCCACTGCACAACACGGAGAATGGGAATGCGACCCCCACTGGCCGTGCCGGCCAGGGATCATAGGAGTCGTAGTCCCCCCATCTGGAGCAGCTCTGGCTGGGGAAGACTGGCCCAATCACGAAGTGCAGGGTCGGGTCTTGGGAGGGGCGAGGGCGTGGCTGCAGAGCATCCAAAGACAAACACCAGCGCCAGACTCCTCCCTCTGACACCCAAGAACTGCCCCCAGCCTGCAGTGTGATGCGGGCCGTCCCTGGGCTTCCCGCAAGCACATGGCTGGCGCACTGCGGGGCGTGGGAGAGAGAAGGCGGGACAGAAAAGTAGGCCCAGTCAGCCCTGGAAGGCCCCCACGGCCCCCTCAGGCTCGAAATCAGAGGCGCAAGGACCACAGAAAGACGCCAAGCGCCGCAACCCACAGAGTCCCGGCTCCATCACAGGAACTGCAGCCTTCCCACGTGCGTCAAGCCCCCTTCCCGCTCTCTGTCTGAGCCAGGCTCAGCAACCTGTCTAGGGAAAAATGAGTCACCCTGGACAGGGGGAAAACGCACTGAAATATGCATGGTACTGGAGAGGGGACGGTGTGACACATCTCGACAGAAGCTGCAGCCATTTCATACGAATGCCAGGAATTCTGAACTGCGAATCCTCGGGGGGGTGGGGGGAGGAAGCTGCCTGACTCGGTTTGGTCTGCTAGTTCGTCCTTCTAGCCCCTGCTCGAAGTGACAGCAGCTCTCCAAGGTATGGGGAAGAGAAGTGGCTTTCTGACCACCACCTGCTACCTGGCAGCCTTTTGACCAGAGAGGAACCCGCGGCCTTGTGCAGGCAAAAGCCGTGCTCTGCCATGGAGCGACGGTTCTCCCCGTTTCTCACGAGAAGGAGTTGATGCCAAGCTCACGAATGACGAGCAGGGACAAGGGAGAGAGGCTGCCGTCTCGTCCTGCAGCCAGGCGACACCAAAGGCAGCCCCCTGCGGACCCTGACATCTTCAGCCTTGCCCTCTCCATCAGGAATGGAGGTGGTCCAAACGAGCCACAGGCGCAAGCTGGAGGGTTCATCAGGCCCTCCAAGGAAGGCACGAACGGCAGCTGCAGGCTGGACCCCTCCGTTCGGAGGCTGTGGGAGTGCCCTGCACATGATCAGCTTTCTCCTTGCAAGTCGGCAAGGGGCGGCATAGAAATGTTTTAATAAATAAATAAAATAAATAAGTCTGGTCTCCTGTCACTGTATCAATTAATCCAGACCGTGGGGAATTTCCATCATATCCTCTTGGTTAAACTTTCCCAGCCCTGACTTAGATCCAGTCCTGCCTAGGGATTTGGGAGAAATCCTCAATGGATTCAAGTGAGTCCAGATTCCTCAGAATGTGAGCCATAGATTCTGGAACAGACCAGCTCTTCCCTAGTGATGTGGACAAAGAAAATTTACCCAGCCTTCATCAGAAAATGCACAATCATCTGTCCAAAAATGTGCATTGTCCCATAGACTAAAGTATGAAAACATGCATTTTGGAGGGATTTGCACAAAATCTGATTCTGCCAAGGAACAGAGAACGGAACGAATGGCACCAGGCAATCCCCAAGACTCAGATGGAACAGAGTTCACAGCATCCATAGATCCTTAACTGTACCTTGCCTCCTGCCACGGGGTTTTCATTCCAAGCCAAGTGTTGGGGCCAAGTCAACAGGGACTGGCCTTTCTGTCACTATCCTAAACATCTGGAGGAGGGGCACTGCTCCAAAACCATACCCTTGCTGCAGTGCTTCCGGATATTTTGCGAGCCCTCTGAGCTGAGCCTGGAAGCAGCACCCTCTGGATGTGCAGCTCCCAGCACGCCCCAGCCCTCTTGCATCCTGTAGAGAACTGCAGCCTGGAACATCTGGAGGGCACCGGATTGGGGAAGGTGGCTCTGATCAGTCGCTCTTCTAGCAAGAGGGGTCAATTACAATGGGGAGGAGCCCCACCCAGAAGCAAGGCTGTATCCAAACAGAGAGGATCTGCACAAACAACCGGCAAGATCACTTTGGTCTCCCCAGATCTTTTCATTCCTGGGGGATGAAGCTCGGAGGCTCTTTCATTAGCCACGAATAGAAGCGTCGGGCAATTGCGGCTCCTTCTCCCGCAGGGCATCAGGGAGACAGAGACCTTCGCAGTGAACATGCCTCCCAGGCCCTCCAAGACTCCTGCCTTGCGCAAAAGGGCCTGGGCGGGCACAGGGCAGCGCCTCACGCCACACGAGTGCCTTCGCCCACAAAGACAGCAGCCCCCTCAGTCTTGCCCTGAAAGGCTTTCCTGCCACTCTCCCCACCCCCCAGGGGCCAGGCTTCCTTGGAAGACGTGGCCGGCTCTCCAAGGCGGCTGCTCTGAATCGGCAAAAAGCGCCTCCTCTTCCATCAATATGAGAGGAGCTCTTGGGAACAGCCTTGCAGAAGGCGCCAGCAGCCGAGTGAAACACCATACGGGGCCGGAAGGATTTGGGCTCCACTAGCAACTGCTAAGGCAGCCATGGAGTGTCCGCTGCACCCGTGAGCACTTTGTGCTTGAGGTGTGTGTGTTTTAAAAGACCTGTTGCCACCTGGTAGTGTTGCAAAGCAAAGCAAAGCAAAGCAAAGCAAAGCAAAGCAAAGCAAAGCAAAGCAAAGCAAAGCAAAAGCAAGACTGCCTGAAAAGCCAGGCGCTCAGGAGGCGCTACAAGGCTCTTTGCCTAGCCCGAAAGCTTGGACCAGCCTCAGCTGCTCTGCCTCTGCTCACTTTTCCTAATCCAGTATTAATGGTACTTTCTAAACCACCCCCAAAGCCCCAACCCCGGGCAAGCAGCAACGCTTGAAGCTCCGTGAAGCCCTCCGGAAGCAACTCCGACGCAGGCGCAGCCCACTGAAACGCCGCCATGCCTGGCCGGCCCTGGCTGTGGGAGCTCTCTCCCCTGCACGCAGAGAAGGTGACCAGGCTCAGCGGCAGGTGTGTGGGCCGGTGCTGGGAAACATGTGCCTCCTCCAGGCCCTTCAGTCTCATCCCAAGAGAGTGCCTGGCCAGCAGTCACGACGACCGACCGTGGCGAGGTGGGAGGGGAATGACGCAGCCCGCCTCGGTCCAGGTGCGCAAGGGAAAGATGACGGGGACAAGGGAGCAGGTGCAGGTGGGAGGGACCCCGGGGTCCCTCCACTGCTCCGCAGGGGCAACTGGATCAGGATCGGGCAGGCAGCGCCTCCTCCCCTGGCGCCCTCTCCTCTGCCAGCCAGGTGGGCTTCAGCACAGGGGCAGCCATTGCAGTGCCAGCACAGGGGGTCACATGCCGTCCCGTCTTGGCTCCTTCCAGCAAAGAATCCGGTGCGTCAGCCTCTGCTCACTGTATCCTTGCCACAACCACCCTGTGAGGTAGGCGAGGCTGGAAGTCACCTGGTGAGCCTCCAGGCCAAGTGGGAGCAGATCCGCGGCCTCCTGAGTCCCAGGCCAGCACTATGGCCTGGCTTGTCCTCGTGCAAATGCACCAGTTCCTTCGGGGCAAAGGGGTCGCCCCACCCACCAGGGAGGCACTTCACTGGCAGCACAGCGGAGGGTGAAAGGAAAGGGAAACGCAGCCCCTAGGAGGACGCTCAGGTGGATGTGAGAGGAAATGACGGCGGGCCTTATGAGATAATTATCTGATCTGATTACCGCCTCTGTAATAGGCATCCTGGGATTTAGGATGTTTTTCAGATTAGCGAATGAGGAGCGGTGCATCTGAAAGGAGTTTCATTAACGGAGAACGCTTTGGCACAGGCAGTCAGACGAAGCGGAGCGTGGCGCCGGGTGAGGGACTGGCGTTTTGCTCCAGAGGATGGAGTCCCGGAAGTCACGCGGCAGCCCCCCCGGCCCCCCCGC